GGCCGGGGTTCGCTCACTGGACTATTTCTTCTGCATACCAGCATCATGCAGGTGGTGGGCTAGGGAGACAGCTCAGCTGTCGTCAGCTCTGAGTAAGTCCGTTGGGTCCACTGCCCAAGCACCAGGTAGTTATCAGGGGACGCCCAATTGCCTGACGAGGGTATGGCAGGAGATGAAAGAATAATATGCCAAGAGCAAAGAATAAAGACTAATGAATGACAGTTTATTCCTTGGGGGGCCGGAAATTGGTCTTAGCTCTCTCCTGGCTGACCTTAGCTCTGTCCTGGCTAAGACTGGGGGCTCTGGATCGGACAGTATCTGTGATCATACAGCATAGCAGGAGGCGAGAAGGAAGACGTAAGGAACAGCAGAGCTGATGCGCTAATGGGCCAGGCTTGGAGCAGGGGACTAACTGTGTATGCCTGCGAAGGTCACAGTTCACAAGCACCCACAGTGCCTTTCTTTAGCTAATGTTTGGTCTTGGAGAATGGCTGCACAGAGTCCTAATTCCTCCGCTGCGGTGTTGCCTTGCTATGAGACATGTTGATCTGATCCCTCATTGAGATCTCGATTGTGATCACTGGCATAGGGAAGTCTGTCTCTGTCCACCAGCCGAAGGGTCATTCAGCAATTCACACTTGGGCCCTGGAATGACTCATAATTTTAATCGATAGCCTAATTCTAAGCCAAATCAACAATATCTTCAGGCTGCTCAGTGCAGTTTCGTGCTGGTCTCCTGCACAAGTCCCTGCTTGGGTTTATGCACCGGGCCCAAGAGCAGGCTCTGAGGCTCCACATTAGTGCCAGCCTGCTGAAGGGGGCGCCTGGGTGTACGCTGGCCTCGAAGGGTTTCCAGGTCTCTCCACACTCCACCCCAGCTGCAGTCACAATGAGCCTTCTGAGCACTCTGGGGGTATGGCTGCTGCTTGCTCAGATTCATCTCTGGGGGGTAATTTCAAGGCACAGATGAGTTTCTTCATTTGAATTTTACCTTGAGAAAATTCCAAGTGATCCCAGAAAAAAAAAAAGTTTATCTTGCAAAACTACTAAGGAAAGAAATGTTTTCTATTACTATCGTCCCTGTGGTTATTTTTAAACTTCCAAGAAGTTCAATCCCCAGTACCAAAAAAAGAAAGGAAGGAAGGAAGAAAGAAAAGAAAAGACTAACACATAGGCCTTTAGGAGACACTCTTGTGAGCCATATGAAAACATATATATGCAGGGTCACTCATTTTCCTTTACCTGGTTTTCCTCTTTGCTTGTAAGTACCTGTGTATTTTTCCATTATGATCCTTTGTGCCAGGTAACTTATTCTTTTCTTTCAACAGCCGACTACACCTCCTGAACATCACAGAATTTCTCAATATCCTTACTTTGTGCAATGGTTTGGATTAGGTTCAATGGTGCACCCACCCCCAAAGTCATGTACTAAAGACCTGGTCCTCAGCGTGGCACTACAAGGGGGGTGTGGGGGAAGAACCTTCAGGAGATGGGCCCTGGAGGATCCTCAGGTCACCAGAAGTACTCCTGGGAGAAGCCCTTGGGAGAGGGCTGTTGTAAAGGAGCAGCCTGGCCCCGCCCACCAGCCCTCCCCTGGTGGCCTCAACTGCCTGCCCCACACACCCTGCCCTGCCCTCCGCTCCTGGAGGCCCTCACTGAGCTTGCACAGTGCTATTTAGACCTTGAAATGTCTAGAACTGTGAGCACCATAACCCTTTCTTACAATGCTAGTCCACCTCAGGTATTTTGTTATGGTTACAAAAAAGCTGACACTCAATATTCAGGACAGTTTTCCCACACAGATTATTTTGATGAGGTGAGAATCTAAAGACCAAGAGAGAAACTATCACAACCTTACATTATCAATAGTACATGTACCACTTCTCCAAAGAGAGTATAAACACTCTGGACTATAAACATGCACTAATAAAATTTTTTTTCATTCAGTCTTTCCCCGAGAATCAATTAAACTCCTTTAGCCATTTCATAAATAGTAACATGCAAGAAAAGCAAATACAATTTTTACACTGTTATAATATCCAATGAGATATATAATTGGCTCAGAATTATTAATAGTTATTTCAAACTCTCCTTCCACATTCAGGTACTGAAGTATTTATTTTTCTAAAAAAGAGCCTTCATCTTATTGCTTCTCATTTTCAATTTGTGATCATTCTGTCTCTCCCAAAGATCTTTCTATGCCAAACTTTAGGTCGTTACAAGTATTTTTTTTTCTTTTTGAGAGAGGGTCTCCCTCTGTAGTTGAGACTGCCCTGGAACTCACTATGTAGCCCAGGCTGTTCTTGAACTCACAGTGATCCTCCTGACTCGGCCTCCAGAGTGCTAGGATTATAGGCATGCACCACCAAACAGCCCGGCTGTTTTGTTTCGTTTTTTTTTTTTTTTTTTTTTTTTTTTTTTTTTTTAATTCGAAGGTAACATGGGCTTTACTGTAGAAAATAAACAATCCATTTTAATGTAAAAATGTTTTGATTAGATTTAAAATAATTAGCAACTTATATTTCCGTAAGACTGAATATACCAAATAAACTTTTGTTTTTAACTGTTATGATTGTCTTTAGAAAACAAAATGTCTTGCCAAGGGTGATGGTGTGTTCTTGTGAGGCCAACCTGGGCTATGTAGAAAGTTCAAGGCTGAGCAGGACTACAAAGCAAGAACCTGTAGAAAGAAAGAAAGAAAGAAAGAAAGCGGGGCGGGGGGAGAAAGGAAGAGAGAGCAGAGAGAAATTATCCCGAAACAGCTATGTCACAAGACATTAAATATCTGTGATAGATATTTTAATTAGATATAGGAATTACAAGATAAAATGGGAATTAACAAGGACAACCAGCTTTTCATGTTCTCCTTTAAGTCTTTCGAATTTTAATTGTCATCTATCACCATTGTTGCGATGTAATCCTTGTACTGAATTAAATTTGATTCTGGATCAATCGCAGCTGACAGCATTTCCTCCATTTCCTCTCGAGAAAAAGGCTCACCTGGGAGAGACAGAGGACAGTCCATCATCTACAACAGGCCGACTTCTTCCTCTTCCCAGGAAGCAGCGTAACCGCCACGGGCCCCGTGTGCGCACAGCGCCACTGTTTGTTCCCGAGGGGCACCTGCAAGCACACGGCTGGACCTTTCTCAGGCTGCAGACTCACCGTCCTCTTCCCCACTGTGGACCAAGCAACCCGTGGAACCCATCACCTCGTCACAACAGCAGCAGCCGCAACGACACCACGGACAAAGGTGTTTGCGTGTTGAAGTTAAATCGACGAAAGTTGCAAAAGGGTTCACCTGAAGCCTCCGTCTCAGAGGGATGCTGACCGGCGTGCGTGGCAAGAGTACGCACAGGTGACTAAATGTTTGCTCTGCAAAATTACTGACGAGCAGATTGCTGAGGCCTGAATTGTAAGTGCTCCATCTAGGAATATTTCCTACCCCATCTGGCTGGGCCAGGGATGCCATCTGACCCCAGGGAAGGACGTAGCTCACTGACCATTTCAAAATTCCTCCTCGTGAGAGTTTGGTCGAGGGTTCATATCAGATGAAACCAAAAGCTGGGTAGAAAATCTGTGGGATTTATTTGGATTCAGATAACAGCTGAGAGCCATCTTGGAAATGGGTTTCACCAAGAGGAAAAGTTTGAAGATGATTTAAGACAAAACTGTCCTAACATTAAATGAAAACACAGAACATCTAAATCACCAGTTTGGCTCTATAGGGAAAGATTGTGACCCAAGTACCTGAGTTACCAAGGTCTGAGGCCTGCTTACCTGAGCCTAAGTCACTGACCACTATAAACAGTGCTTCCTAGGTTGGAATTCGCTTATAAACACTGAAGTTATTCAAATAGGGGTTGTGATGACAGTGAAGGTAATACCATGGAACATGAGAAAGCTGGTGCAGGTTCTTTGGAAATCATGCCTACATCCTAATAAAAGGACGAATGGCTAAAGTGCTAAAAATTACAACTCTGAATCATCCTTAAACCTAATGATTAAATACCAAATGAACTTTGATGTAAATCCTTGAAATGGTATTAAGTAACCAACATTTACTGAGCAATACTGTGTGCTGGGCACTGACCTAAGTACTTCACATATATTAACTAAGTTCATCAATCTCCCAACCACAACTGAGAGGTAAGTCCTTGGGTGTCACTGATGCACCCAAAGAAGCCAGGCAGCTGGACCCAGACAGTGGTGGGAGGTGCTGGGTTCTGAAGGCCAGGAGTCCAGCTCATGATCCGCCAGCTGAACAGCTACACTCTGCAGCTTAGAGTAAGGTCCCACTCATGGTGAAAGACAGGATACACACTGCTTCCTGGCACAGAGAAAGAGTCACAGTGTTTGATTGCAGAGTGCCTGGGTTCAAATGCTGGCTCTCTCCAGCTAGCTTTCAGATTGTGGCCAACTTGCTTAACTGCTTGGTGCCTCAGTTGCGCCATCTATAAATGGGGATGATAATACTTTCTACCCAGAGGATTGCTAAAAAGATTAAATGTTTAATTATTTGACTATCACTTAGAATGGCAGCAACATAGAAGTATGTATTTAGAAAATAGTTTTTGAACTTTTTCCTACTGCTAAATACTGATGCAATACAAATTCCTGGACACATGCAGATTTCATCGTGTAGGAACTGGATTCATTATGACTTTCATTTATCATAGGACGTAGGTGTTTAGAACACATATTCTCAAACTTATATTAATATATTTGATGCTGTATGGGTATTTCAGAAAATGTACAAGTAACTTTGATCTTTGTTATAAAGCACAGAAGTACTCAAAAACAATTTAGAATTTTGAGAATCTCAAACCATCAACTAAGCAGATATTTTACTAGGGTAGCCAACTGCTATTACAGTTAGATGGCAGATCTTTTATATTTAATAATAATAACACCTTACCTTTGTATAATACCTTACATTTATATATCACCATCCAACATTAGATCATAGGTGAAATGTACTGAGTAATATTTGTTGAATAAACCAAAGTCACGTATTTGAAATCAATTTTTCTATGCTCAGTCTGCTGAAACAACCAATAGTTGACCCTTAAGTACAACTGATTCTGCAAATTTACCTTTTGGAACTTTCTGAATCACATGGCACCTCCAAGTACACCACACCGTGACACTGTGCTTTGTCTCTGTAAGCAGCACTGTCTCCTCTCGGTTCCCTGTTTCAGCCACTGGCATTACCGTGACACCCCCATCCAGGTCAAAGCCTTGCTGTTATTTTTCACTCTGCTCCCTGCATTGTCCCCTGCCCTCTGTAGTTCATCATGACCCAGGGATCCTGCTGCAGAGAATCCGTTCCCACTGCCAGGCCAGGCCCTCGTTAGGGCAACCTTCAGAATGCTGAGCCAGCCTTCCAACTGGTCTCCCTGGCCCAACCTCTTTCCACCTAACAAAGCTACAGGCACCAGACTAACTTTCCCTCGATCACCCTCACCGCGTGACTCACCTCCTAAAGCCCTGTAATACTCCACTGCCCACAGGATGAGCCAGGCCCCCACACCTTAGTCCCAGGAAGTCTATCTCAGTTAATTTCCTACTCTGGCCGACCACACCCGCAGGGCCATGTGCATCCCCACCTCCCACTTTGTCCTCGCTGTTTTACCCATCTGTGTTTCCCTCTCCCAGCCCACGTTACCCACACTTCCTTCCACTACTCATACGTTCTTCATTCATTCATTCCTTCATTCTTCATGCATAGCTAATGTGCTGCAATCATTTGTGAGACCTACTATGTGTGAGGGAACTGGAATGCCTAAGATGTTACCCTGCCCTCGACGATTCACTCAAGTAAATTCTACCTTGTTGAGTTTCTCCACAACCTATTTCTTGTTGGTCTTCCAAAACTAAGATTTCCAAGCTGCTCCGCCCTGCAATGATCTTCTCATATTTACTTTTCTACTCTCCTATACTGTGATTTATTGAATAAATTAGCTTTGTTTTCTCAGTAAGATTGTAACACCCTTGGGAGAGGAGATTTCAGTATCACTGCCCCTCCGCTGTGCTCACTAAGAGCTACATACAGTAAGCATGTGATATTCATTAACTTGAACTGTTTGGGCCATTTTGACTAAATTTATGTTGCCTGATATAATTACTTTCTTTAGTCTTTATGATTAAAAGGTGAACGCTTTGAAAGGCATAACATTCCCACCACAGTTAATCCCTGAGATGATTTTAACAATGTCCTAGGGTTCCTGGGTGGCTGCCACGACTCCCATGTCATTCTCAGCCCTGTTTCCTGTTCTCTTACCTAATGGTGGATCAAGTGAAAACGGTCAAACCAGTTGTGCCTGTGGACGTCTTGGTCTTCCCCCTCAGAATTACTCGTACTTCTGATCCTGCCTCAAACGATTAGTGACTCAGTCTCTGTAGCAGTGAACTTCTGAACCCAAGGAGACCGAACCCTGTGGGCTGGGGACTTAGCTCAGTGGTGCCGCCGCCTGCCTCACAAGCATGAGGACCCGAGTTCAATCCCTGGTACCAACAAAACAAAACAAAACAAGGAGACAGAACCCTTAACTTCGTACAGGAGTAGCGGAGGAGGCCAATACAAGAATGGTTTCAAGAGACTGTCCCTCAGGTGCTGACATTCAGGAGAAACAGATTTACATGCTGGCTGGTGGAAATTATATTAACATATATGTGTATGTGTTAGTTTACATTCAAAGCAAATATAAACGTCTCCATGAGCATAAAATATGAAATTTTTATGTGAATTCATATTCAGTCGAGTATTATCCATAACTTTACCAAACTCTTTTGCAAGAAATTTTGTTTATGCTCCAATTCAAATCTTCAATCTAATAAAGGCATTGATTTATAGCTCATGTTTTCTAGGTGACTCACCTTTCATTCTGGAAATATTCTACAAGAATGAAGTGACTGCTTTTGTGTGGGTGGTACTGGGGATTGAACCCAGGGCTTTCACACCGAGCTACATTCCCAGACTTTTTTTTAAATTTTTATTTTCAGACATGGCCTAAGTTCCTAAGTTAACCAGGCTAGGCTTGAAATTTGCAATTCTGCGTTAGCCTCCCAGAGAGCTTCGATTACAGGCTTATGCTACCACTCCTGGCAAGTGACTGCAACTTATAGAAGTAATCATTAAACTTCTGTCGTACAAAAACCTATGAGGCAATAATCTATCTCCATTCTCTTACCCTTTGTCCTCTTTACCTCCAACCAAAACCACTCCCAAACCAAAATGACAGGAATAGTAAGTGACTCGTTTAATCAGAATGGTTGATTTTTAAAGAATTCCCTATAACCTTAAAAAATTGTTGTTAAAAGCTCTGAATCCATTACCTCGGTTGCTGTTATGAGTAATAAAGTACTCTTACCTTCTTCGGTCATATATTTGATCAATTCTTCCTTTGTAAGAAATCCACGTTTAGCTGAATCTAAAGTCTAGGGGGAAAGGCACATAGTGCATATTTTATTCGGTAAATAAATTTTACATAATAAAATTTTTATACAAGTTATGATTTTAAAATACAGTATTTAAATTTAAAATGTTATCACAGTGAGAGAGATCGCCATTAATCTTCTCCAGAGTCCTCCCCTCGCTTCAAAGTGGTGCCACACCTGCCACTTTCTAAAGCAGTTCTGGAAGTCCTCTTTCCCGAGTTCCTTTCTTGGCTGCCTCAATGTACCGAATCAATGCAAATCGTTTACCTTTCATGGTCATGTTGACTTTGGGGAGGAGCCAGAAGTTGCATGGTCCCAGACCGAGTGAGTAAGATGGACGAAGAACACAGTGCAATGTTTTCATGAGCCTGCCTCTCCACAGGATGGCACTCAGCAAAAAAAGTTTTATCACATCTCATAAAGTCCTCACGAAATGAGACTCCCAGAACCGCTTCAGAAAGTGGCAAGAACATTAGCATAAATGTGTTCTAAGTGAGTGGGAGGATTTTAGGAAGATTAATGGGAATGTGTCTTTTGCTGTAATACTTTTTCTAATGTAAGCATTCACCGAATATTTTGGTTACCCCTGTCTCTATGAATAACCCGGAGCATACACACCTCAAAAGCCTGAAGAAGGACATCATCTGGAACTGGTCTGTACCTAATTACACCACAAAAGAGTTAGTGTCAGAGTAGGTCAGCCTCTACAGTATAAAGAAACACATTAAAAATTAAAGTGACTGGCCGGGAATTTAGCTCAGCGGTTCGGTGGCCTGCCTTGCAAGCACAAGGACCTGAGTTCAATCCCCGGTACCAAAAAAAAAAAACAAAAATTAAAGTGACTGCCTTGAAAGTACAAGGTCCTGAGTTCGATCCCCGGGACTGAATAAATAAATAAATAAAGTTACTAATATACTAGAATAATGATGCTTCAATCACTGAAATCTTTTTGGCTTTCTAGATATAAAAGTCAATTGTACCTTACCTCCATGGAAATACGTAGTTCGAAGTCACTAGCATGTTAGTGTTATCTATGTATTTAGTGTTATCTATTTATTTTAGTGTTATCTAGCTTTTTCTCATCTTGGAAATCAATTTGTTTAGAAACAAAACCTCTACAAATCTACAACTTTGGTAAGCTAATGCTATACTTTACCAGAAAAATAACTGGGATTCTTATTTATAATTGAGCACTCAAAATAGTAGATGATTAGGATATTGTTGATTTAATATTTTTGTAGCTTCCTTGCCCTTTGATTATGTTTTGCTTGGAGTAATAGTAACACGGTTGATTTTCTAAGCAGATAGCAACTGACAATTCACAAGTACTCTAAAAGATTAGAAAGAAGGCAATCTAAGATATTTTGAGTAAAATACAGAATGAAAAAGCTAAGTGTTTAAAAGTAATATAATCCTTTCATTACCTTGACTAAAATTGCATTTACGATTTACCTTCCTTCCAGAAGTACTTTGGTCATCACTGGAAGAAATTTTTCGTATCTGATGTATCCAGTGGGTTCTTCTTCCTCTACCTAAACATTTGATAAAGAAACAGCCATTTACTTACTTAATACATCTCTGTATTGAGCAACTACCTTGTAAAAGTACGTGCCACATGGTTTTATAATGAGGACACTCGGGCGTGATCCCTGCTCACAGGATTTGTATCCCTCCAGGGGAGGCATACATCAATCAAAACACCAAAAGGCCATGTGTCTAATTATAAATGCGTGCAGCAAAATGAAGTAAATGATCACGGTTCTTCAGAAACATATAATAAAGGAAACTTTCCTAGACCAGGAGGGCAGGGAAGTCATTCATGATGAAATAACACTTGAGCTGATTCATCAAGGATGAACAGAGGATGGAGACGGGACGGAGCCAGCAGGGAAGACTCCCCAGTAGAGGAAACTGCATGCACAGGGAACCTGGTGACACAGGGCAGGCCGTGAGGCTGCAGCAGAGAGCGGCAGGGAGGACGTTTCAGGAGGAAGCTGGACCGAGACAGGGAGCAGACCTTCAAGGCCTCATCGATGAAAGTGACTTTGGTTGCTACCTTAAGAACAATGGGAAGTCCCTGAGGGTTCCAGGGATGTGTATTTTGAAAGATCACACTGGTTCAGGGTGAAGGGGCTTTTTCAGTGCTCTACACAGATACCATGAGGGCTCGGACTGGAGTGGGGGCCGTGGAGAGAGAAGTGGATTGTTCCAAGAAATGTTTATAGAGTAAAACTGATATGCTTGTCTGGCGCCCATTATGGATAAGGAGAAGGAAAGAGGCGTGGAGGACAAATCCCCAGCTTCTGACTGGCTCGACTGGGAGGCAATGTTACTTTGGTCAGCGGCCAGGCATTATTTCAAGGACCAAACGACATCTCGAATCATTGCAGCATTTGTAAGTACCTACACGATTAATGGAATTTTGCTACGCCACCACTAAATGAAGAGAACACTATCTCTGAGACAGAGAATTTTTAGAACTCAACCCCTTTGGACGAGAATGAAGCAGATCTCTGCCCATGGGTTCAGTTTCGATGGAGTGGCTATGTGAAGCCCTACTGACCTGAACTTTCATGCCAGGCTATTTATGGGGACTTATAAATTTTCCACTCCTTTAAAAAATCCTATTAAAAGGCTCATAGATCCCATTTCAACAGATGAGCTTTGAACATAAGTATTATTTGAGCAAAAAATAAGAAACTATAGTTGCTGCTAAGTGCAACTCACTGTCACCCAGGTAACTTGTTTAATGTGTTTATTAGATTCATCACTAGAGTAAATGAAGCCCTAAGGCCCCACTATCATGAATCGAACTCAGGTCCTTGCGCTTGCAAGGCAGGCAGCGGATCCGCTGAGCTAAATCCCCAGCAAACATCTCATGTCTCTAATGACAGAATGTTTCCAAACGTCTGAGTCCATCCATCCACAAACAACTGTCTTCAGCTGCCTCTGGGTCCAAGGTGAGCCTTTTGCAAATTAGTGTTCATATGGCGCTGAGGTAGCACTCCAGATTCGCAGCCTTCGGGGTCTCACACACACGGCGTCACCTCATGAGATTACTCACAGAGCAGTCATCTTAGAACTCTGAGTTTCTATCCAGGTATCTGCTCCAGAAGCCAGGGCAATGGCTTCCTTCCCTTTCCCTGACTGCTAACAAAACTCTGCAGAGCAGATGTTCTCAGCCTTGACAGAGTCACAGCCCTCCTTAATCTCATAAGCAGCTTCTTCAGTCTGCAGCCTGCTTTTAGAGTTCAGCGCCATGAGAACTCCAGATGACTTCTGGCCTGTACCTCACAGTGCGACCTGGGGGTGGGGGTGGGGGCACTGCTGAAACTGCAGGCCGTTCTGCTTCGCAGACCTTTCTGCAGCCAAAATTAATGTCATAGGTCAAGAGAAGACTTCCAATTAGTACATCAGAAGAGGCATACATTTTTCTTAGTTTTTTGTAAAAAGAGGGAAAATGAATATAAACACAGGTCCTGTGGTTAAAAGGAAGAAAATTGCTAAATCCATCTACTTGGCAGAAACTGTAAAATCTTTCTATGACACAACACTGTCCCCTAGAGGCCGTATCTAATCTGTCCTCTGTTTTTTTTGTTTCTTGTTTCGATACCAGAGATCAAACTCAGGTCCTTGCGCTTGCAAGGCAGGCCGCCAAAACGCTGAGCTAAATCCCCGGCCCTAATCCGTCCTCTGTAATGTAGAGAGGTGAGCAGGGGCGTTTAACTACGATTTCACTGCATAACTATTCTAACCACAGTATCCATGGGATGTCTACGTATGACAGACACTACTTTATAGTATAAAAAGCTTTCACTTTTTACTTTAGAGTAGCTCTACTTTACAGAAAAGTTGCAAATACAAAAAATTCTTGCGCATACCCCAGCCAGCTCCCCCATTGTTTTCAATTTTTTTCAAGCTTTAGTGAGATAAGATTGACAACTAAAAATTGTATATATTTATAGTATGTGTGATGTTTTGCTACACATTTATAGTGATGTGATTGCCACAATCAAGTTAGTAACCATATCCATCACCTAAGTGATTACTGCCTTGTATGTGATAAGAACGTTTAAGATCTCTCAGTAGATTTCAGGTATACTGTGCATTATTATTAACTACAGACGTCATACTGTACAGGAAGTCTCCAGAAATTGTTCACCTTCTGTAACTCGAGTTTGTACCCTTTGGCCATCAGCTCCCCATTTCCCCTGATAAGTGTCCTTCCACTGTTTTAAGTTTGACCTTTTTTCTTTTTTTTAAATTCCTACACATAAGGAGATCATGCAGTATTTATCTATTTTTCTCTGGGTATCTTACTTAGCATATCCTCCAGGTTTATCCATGTTGTCACAAATAGCATGATTTCCTTCTCTCTTGAGGCTGAATAATATTCCGCTGTATATGGATACATTTTCTTTATCCACTCATTCATTCACAATTTATATCCAAATGTTGCTACTGTGAATAATACTGTAATGAACATATGATGCAGATAATCCTCCTAGATTCTGATTTCATTTCCTTTGAGTACCCACCTAGAAGTGGGATGGCTGGATATATGCTAGTTCTATTTTTGGTTTTATCAGGTACCACCGTACAGTTTTCCGTAACAGCTATACCAATTCCCATCACCGGTGTATAAGGGTTCTTTTCCTCCATATCCTCACCGACTCTTGATATATTTTAGCTTTTTAACAATGGCCACACTAAAAGGCTTGTGGTGATATCCCAGTGTAGTTTGGTGATCAGCTGTCTCCTACCGAGTCATAGGAGTTCCTTACATATCTTCGCTATTAATCCATTACAGTATATATGCAAATACTTTCCCCCACTCTGTTGGTTGTAGTTCTTTTGCTAGGCAGAAGCCTTTTACTTTGATGTAGTTAGGCCCACGTAATTATTTTGGCTTTTGTTGTCTGTGCTTTTGGCGTTGTATCCAAAAAATCACTGCCAAGACCAATGTCAAGGAGCCTGTCCCATGTTTTCCTCTAGTGCTGTGGTTTTAGGTCCTAGGTTTCCAGGTCTGACTCACGTGGAGTTGATTCTATGTTGTGAGACGCGTCCACTTGATTCTTCTCCACGTGGACATCAGCCTTCCTCACACCATTACTGAAGGGCTTCCCCGTCCACGTGTGTGTTCTCACTGCCCTTGCTGAAGAGGAGTTGCCAAAGGTACAGGGGTTCATTCCCAGGCTTTCGGTCCTCTCCGGTGGTCTGAGTACCTGTTTCTCTGCCAGTACCACAGTGCTTTGGTGGCCAATGCTTTATAATGCGATGTGTGATGTGATTCCTCTGCTGTTAATTCTCACATCACTGTGGCACAGTTGTTGCAACTAACGAACCCAGGTTAATATATTATCACTCACTAAACTAAATTTGGATTTCATTCGTTTTTCTAAAAGTCACTTGAAACATGGTATATTCCTCTATTATAAAAGGAAAAAAATAACAGGTTAAAATATTTCTGGGAATCGGGAAACATGGGTGGAAAGAGGGGGGGACAGGACATGGTTCTATTATTTCTGGAATGAGATAAGCTAGTTAACTTTGTGAGGCCATCAGTAAGCTGGTACAACAATAATGCTTTCTAGAAATGTTATGCAAGGCCATGAACTAAAATGTCTTTAGGATTTAACAAAATCTATCAATTACTAAACCGTTATCTATAGTGTGTGAATATGTGTATTTATTGTATGATGGCTTGTGATGCACCCCCCCCTTAAATACTGAAGTCCTAATCCCCAACACCAAGAGTGTGACTTTATTTGAAGAGAAAGTCAAATTAAAATAAAGTCATCAGCGCAGGCCCTGACTCCCTTTGATGGCTGTCCTTACAAGGGGCAATTTTGTCACAGATGCACATGCGGGAAGACACCAGGTGAATTCAAAGGCAGCCCTGTGCAACCAAGGAGCGAGGGCTGGACAAACCCTTCCTTGTGGATTTCAGAAGGAACCAAACCCTGCTGACACCTTGCTCTCGACTTCACGTCTTCACGTCTTCAGACCTGTGGGACAATAAACTGCTGCTGTTTAAGCCACTCAGTTTGTGGTACAAGGTTGCAGCAGCTCTAGCAAGGACTGCGAGTCGCTACGGACAGAAACCCTAAACCTCTCAACTGCAGATTAGCGAGGTACATATTCAAAATTCTGAACTGCTGTTTTGCAGTCCATATGGGGGGAAGAAAGTAGTGCAGTTCAGACCTACTTTCTCCAGGAGAAAACTCAATTAATTTAGATTCACTAAATTATAGCAGATGTCTTTGAAAAGACCGTGAATTCATTACCATTTCTCACAACTCTGTCGTATCAGGGGATAAAATAGCCTCCTAACTTCTTGCTGTATTGGTTAGGGTCTTTAAAAAACAGACATTGCCTTTCTTATAGAAATAGAGATGCTGACTTGTATTGCCGTGGTACAGTGTGAACCCCTGGGACCCATGGGGGGGCTATCTCATAATATATTCACCATTTTTTGACCAAGAATAAGGAAAGTTAAAAATATTCTTAGAAAAACTCATCCAGCTTCTGC